GTACGTAGTCGTTTACGGGGGGGGGGGGGGGTTAGAAGAGTAGACTGTTAGAAAACCTATTTTTAGTCACACTGGCTACGTAATTTTTAATACAAAAAGAATCAAAATCTAATAAAAATAATTTCGATATTATAATTCTGCATATATTAGTATAATTTTGACATATTCATGCGTCCGTAATTTTGGTCATTTTCTGGTTCTTTTTCGTGTTTTCTTATTATGAAAACTTATTCCTGGTACGCAAACCGAAGTTAAGCATTCCCTCTCAATTTCATCTCCTTTCTTCTTAGCTTTTAAACCCTAAAATATTTAACAGAAAAAGGAACTGGGGATTGTATATTGTTGAATGGAGCTAGCAGCTTGTATTAGCCCTTGCTATGCCTTCTCTGTACGGCCGTCCACTTCTACTTCTAGAAACTTCTCTCCTCTTCCGCCACTCTCGCTTATCCAATATCCAATTCAACGACAACATCAGCTGCACCTCGCCGGAGCTAATTCCGTAGGTAAGAAGCTTTCTTCCGGCCACCAATACTTATTTCTGCCAAATGTTAGCATTTTTTTTTTCCAATTGATTTCTGTTAGCTAATTACTCCTGACACGCTTTCCATTGATTTGAGTACCAAAAATGCAGGTAAAAATTTCTATTACGAATGTTATTTTATATGACTTCCAGAACTCTAATTCATCTACCTATTTAAAATTTTAGCTTAGATCTAATTTATTTCTATCAAACTAAGTTTTTGAACTTGTAATTAGTATTCCCTTGGACAAAATTCGAGTTGAAGTTGAAAAAACTTTGCGGAAGTTGAAGTTGTGTTCGGATATTTGCAACAAAAAAAGGAGGTTCGCAAAAGTTGCACATTTGTGAATGGAAGTTAGAAAAACTTTATTTGAGTTGAAATATACATTCGAGCCACTGGGTTCAAATTCTTTCCTAAACTTATGACACTTCAACTTGCAAAATTATGTAAGATTATTTGCAACTAACAAGCCCTTAATAAATTCCTTCCACTATCACTAATATTATAATAAATAAGTCAGATTAACAGCTTAAACGCTGTGAGTAGTCAAACTTCACATAAAATGGGATAGAGGGAGTAGTAGAATTTGCCTAATAGTTCTGTGAAGCCATTTGGATAATAATGATGTCTGTGAAACTTTTAGGTTCTGTCTTATCTCTGAATGGAGTGAGGTTGCGACTGTCATGTCTTGGCGTTGTAACGGGTGATACAACTGTAGTACCAAATGGTGCTGTTAACGAGCAAATTCCCTCTGTGAAGCTGTCTGATTCAGTTACTAGTCAAGAAACTGATATGGAAAATGGAGAAGACGGGAAAGATTCTTCTGCAGGGTTGGATGAGAATAAAATGATCAGAGTATGCGACAAGTTAATTGAGGTCTTCTTGGTTGACAAGCCCAATCCTACTGATTGGAGAAGATTACTAGCATTTAGTAAAGAATGGAACAATATCCGGCCGCACTTCTATAACCGGTGTCAGAATCGAGCAGAAAGTGAGAGTGATCCTGGAATGAAGCACAAGCTACTCAGGCTTCAACGAAAGATGAGAGAGGTAACTAGCGCCTTTGCGAGCATGAAGTTTTCATTCTGTATGTGCCAGATCATGACTTAGTAAGTGCTTTCATTTTTCAAAGAGACCCAATTATGTCAAACTCGTTTTGGAATAGTTTCAATTCTCCATGATAAGTCCAGATGTTATTATGTTGTATATAAAGGAGGTCCCTCCTTAAGGGGGAGTCCAAGCAAGGGCTCAGTTGAATCATAAATACTCAAAATAATCAATTATTTTATGTCTAGTCTTTGCTAATTGCAGTACATTGGGCTGAGGTGAACTTCTATGATCAATTTACATATTACGGGTCAAAGGATTGAGGATGATTTAAGGATTATTAGTGGATTTCTTACAGTATTTCTGTCATGTTAAGATACAAATTCTAGATTTCGTTTGAGCTTGGTATGTTCTCTAATCTCTATTGAACTTCAACCAGTAACTTTCTTTTCTAGGTTGATAATGATGTTCAGAGGCATAACGAACTTCTTGAGGTAATCAGACGGTCAGTATCCGAGGTTGGTGGTATTGTTGCCAGGCGTCGTAAAGATTTTACAAAAGAGTTTTTTGCTCATCTTCACACTGTAGCAGAATCCTATTATGATGATCCAGCGGAACAGAATGGTAAATATGACTCCTGCCTGGAAAAGAAATAAATGTGGTTCTTCTGTTTGCTATATTTTTTTTGGGGTCATACTGCTAATAACTTTCGGTTTGTTTTCTGCATTAAGACACTCTTTTCCTTTTTGCAAAAGATACACTCTAGAAATGTTGTTTCCCATATATGAAATCGTTTACTCTTACCCACAAGGCCACAACCTTGCCACATGTGAAGTCACCCCAAAGGACCAATGGAAAGAAGTGAGTAAAATATCAACTAAAAGAATTTCTATCTTGCCTTTGAAAACAAATGCTACAATATAACATACAATGAGATAGAAGAAGCTTTGGAGAACCTTCGACTTTGGGAGTGTAAAGTTTCTCTTGCTGTAAATTTAGAAACTAAACTCACGAGTTCACAAACATCATTTCCTTGATTTCATAATAGTTTTATCTGCTGTTGATAGGTTTCACTGACAAGATGATCTTTTTTCTTAATAATTAGCTGTGGCAAAACTAGGGAATACGTGTTTGGCGGTTGTGCAAGCTTATGATACAGCAACTGAAAGTATAGAAGCGTTAAATGCTGCAGAGTTGAAATTCCAAGATATAATAAATTCTCCGTCAGTGGATGTGGCTTGCAAGAAAATAGATGATCTGGCCCAGAAAAATCAACTTGATTCAGCATTGGTGCTCATGATAACGAAAGCATGGTCAGCAGCCAAGGAGTCGGACATGACAAAAGACGAGGTAAGATCATTCTTTTCTTCAGATACACGTCCGTATGTCACTTCTTGCAGTAATTTTTCTCTGTCTTAGCATTAACTTAATTAAGAAGAGAGATGCTTACCAAAGTGATAGTATTCAAAATGACACAATTTTTAGTGATATCCAAACAATATTTTTTTGGGAGCTACTTGAGATTTTGTTTGAAAAGTTTCTTCTCAATTCTGAAGTGTCCTTGGCTCTCCACTGGTGAGGCTATAGAAACAAAGAAGTTCGGGGCAAAGGTGACAAAATATTTATGACTAATTGATATGAATGATGGGAGTTTATCTCATTATTTAATACAATAGTACTACAGATGATGATTAGCAAATGTTGCATGATTTTGCTAAAGAATGTGAACGTTAGTAACCTAGTGCCACAAGCTAAGGTTATCGTATCTGGAATTGGTATGGTGGAATAGTGATTGCTATTCTGCACGTTGACTAAAATGCTTATGTCCATTTTAAACTCTTAAGATAGTGCATAGGTAGTAGCTTCTGTGAGCTCATGCACCAAGCTGCTTTACTCTTGTGATAGCTTATATCATCTTGCATTTGAAGAGAACTTATTGTTGGAATGCCTTTATGTTGAAATTACTATTGAATTTTACAGGTAGCATAGCAGGGTCTGCATCTTAGATATGGTAGTTTAATGTCTTAGGATTTCAGGACAGATAGACCTAGCTGTAGCTGTAAAAGATAATATTCATTTGGCTGTTCTTATCCAAGTTACATGACTTCGCTTTTCAATCTATTGTTTTTATGGAACTTTCACAAGGCCAAATGCCATTTCTATACAAGTTTGGTATTTCAGCACAGGTTGGCTACTCCCCCTCCCCCCTCGCCAATTTGGAATTCATTTTTCTAACATGCAAATGGTTAGGCTTGTGAAATCTTTTTTGCTTTTTTCAGGTAAAGGATGTCCTTTATCACTTGTATATGACAGCACGAGGAAATCTTCAGAGGCTTATGCCAAAAGAAATCAGAATTCTAAAATATCTACTCACAATTGAGGATCCTGAGGAGCGATTGTGCACTTTGAAAGATGCCTTCACACCGGGAGAAGAACTTGAAGGGAAAGATGTAGATTGTTTATACACGTATGTATTGAATCTAATATCTAAGCATTATTCTCTTTACATTGAATTTCTCACAGCATTCATGAAGTATCTTTAACCCGTTGCCTTGACGTGGAAGCACTTCTATCAGATGTATATCGTTCTGAAATTTTACATATTTTGGAGGCTTTGCCTTTTCCTTTCATTTTTGGTTTTTTTTTTCCATATTCACTTTTAACTGTTATTAATAAATCCCTGATCCTTACAGGACTCCAGAGCAGCTTTACAACTGGATTGGGACAGTGGTGGATGCATATAATTTCAGTAGAGAAGGCACTCTCATAAAAGAAGCCAGAGATTTGATGAACCCTAAAATAATTCAGAAAATGGAGGAATTGAAGAAATTGATCTTAGATAACTTCATGTGAGCATTTGCTTGCTTTTAAATAGCTATGGGACTGCTGCTAGTGCCAGATTCACCAGCTCGTGCCATCAACATCCATAAGCATATGTCCAGCTGCTGCTAGTGCCAGATGCGGTGACCACATGATTGCATCGCAGAATTGAACACAAAGCTGATAGGTTCAATCTCCTCACATCGAAGAACTGTCCTTATCTCGGGTTTGTCGATATTCCTGAAAGTTTAAATATCCTAGACGTTGGTTCAGAAGAGGCACGACCTGTATTAGTTGTATAGAACATTGAATTTTGTGTATGATAGAGCTTATGTATTCTGGTACAGTGACTTGATGGCCTTTCTCCTACTCAGCTTGTTTCCTCTTGAAGCTCAATTACGTCTTTAGGATGATTTTTATACACGAATGTATCATTTATGATGAAGTTCATCACTATCATCAATGAATTTATATGGTGTTTAAAGTTGTACGAACTTGTCCAAGTGTTTATTCATTGATTGCTCAACAAAGTAGCCAAGTTTTAGAAATTTTATTTCCCATGCTTTATTACGGTAGAGAACTGCCAAATGAGTTAAGTTGCATATGATGGTCTTTGCGGAGAAATGGTCTCCTATGCATACTTACAATTTGAATAGAAGAAAATGATCGTGTAAATCTCTTGTGCATTATTTTCAAATCTATAATATGTACAAATAAAGATCTTTTATTAATAAAAAGAAATTTGTAAAGGATTACAAAACCAAGGTGAGAAACCAAAAGAGGAGAAAAACAGATCGCTCAAAGGATGAACACGGTCAACGAATTTCGATTATTCACATTATGCATTTAGCTTTTGGGACGTGAATTGGTTTAGGTGAATTCCGGGCGAATACGGCGAATATAATCGCACAGCTGGACACCCCTATTTGTTTAGGCGAATTCTGCTACTGTATTCATGAATACAATAGCGCGAATACAATGAATACAGTCACGTAACAACTAAATAGTAGCTATAGGAAGTAATCACGTAACAACTAAATAGTAGCTATAGGAAGTAATTATGTATATGGTAGCTACAAGAAGTTAATAGCCACTAAACAATAGTAAATTTTGAAAATTCCTCAATTTGAAACTAAAATGATTTGTCAAACTCTACTACTTTGCATTGGACTTCGAAAGGTTCCTATTCTTTAGCACCACAAATGATAACATCACTGTGAAAATATAATGTGACACAACCCGAATGATTATGTTTGAAACCTCCTATCGATGTTGCTCATTCACTTGCGTATTCTCACATTTTTGGATCTTACTAAAGGACCATTATTTATTTTTTGATCATTATTTAATGCCACACCTTTCACAATTAATTTTTTTAAATATTTATTACAGTTAAGGTAAAGATAAAATTTACTTTATCTGGATTTTAAAATGAATAAGTACTTTAAATATGTTATAAATAGTATTTTATTTATGGTGAATGTCTATATTTTACAGAGATTTTAGGGTTTATTACTTGGTGGTTAAGTCACTTTTCCCCTATAAATAGATGGGTTCTATTCTATTGTAATTGATCCCAAATCAATAAGAATTCTCTCTCCCTACTTCTCTTCAATACTCTTCTTCTTCTATTATTGTTAACATGTTATCAGCACGAGACTATAATCAATTGAGTAGAAGCTTTGGGATTGAGCATAATAATTGTCAATTATTCCATGAACTTCCTTCATGATTAAATTCTGGATTTAAGGTAAGTATTTTATCTTTTTTTTTTCTCTTTTAAATTCTTGAAATTCTATAATTTGATTTTAAATACAAGTAAAGACAATAAATTTTGATTATAACTCTAATAGAGTTTGTGAGAAATTATAACCACCCGAAGTGGTAAAATTTCTATGTCTTGCTATGATCAAATTCATGTATGATTGTGAGCACAAGAAGTGAAAACCCGTCCCATTGAATTTGCTTCATTCTCATTCCCTTAAGAGAATATGGTAGCAATATGTAATAAGTCTGAAAGAAGACAAAATTATTACCGTGAAGGTATCAATGGATGCGGACGTGGCAAATAGATGAAATTATAATCGTCATCATTGTGGTAATGAGAATAATAAGGATTTCAAAATAATCATTCACTCCGTGAAAGTAATGTTTGTCATCGATTTGACATGAAATTTTGTAAATCGCATATAGATGATTATGGTTCATTCATGATGTGAATGTGACAACATGTGATTTATGAGTACATATTTATTCTTGGAAGAATATGAACGTGCTAGTGGTAGTGAATATACCACACTCAACTCTACAATGAGGTTTGAGATGAAATAAAAAAATAATTTTATTATTATGGCATGAATGGTCATTGATCACGTACCTATTGTGATTATGCCAAAATATTATGGCAATGTGATTATTATAGGGCAAAAGTAATGGAAGCAACATATCTTGCTTATAATGATTTTGGCCATGGCCATAATGGTATAACTTTCTCTTTGAAAGAAATATTCACCATATGGATATTAATGAATATGTGGTAGTACAAAATTATTTGAGAACTCTGGAAGAACCAATTATACTGTTTTGGAGAAACACAATTGATTATCAATAAGGTATTGTGTTGTAGTAAGTCTCAAAGAAACGTATTGAGTTTCTAAAGCATTCGCGAAAGCGGTTGGTTATATTGAGACTATAAATAACGAGAACACTTAATATCTTCTATTACTACAACTTGTAACGGCGTAATATATGTGAAAAGCTACCCGCTTTATTCTCCAGTTTGTACTACACAAATAAAAGAATGCCACAATAAAGTGAAAGTTTATTGATATAAAAAACTCATATCATAATAAACTTGGAGATTATTTATTATTGCACACGTCATGGTATAAACCTAAAATTTATCAATATTGATAATTTATCCAGTTGGCATAATTGGTTTAGCCATACTAATTTAAGTATGATGTACAAAATTAAAAGAGAATTCACATGGGTAACTATTAAAGAACTAGAAAGTTCTTTACGAATTCTCTTATGTTGTTCTCATTAATTAATAGACCAACAAAAATTGGGATTGAATCCCAAGAATGCTGGAAATATCAAAGGTGAATATGGGCATGTTCACCTGCCATGTATACCACATAAGATGCATCTATGAGATGGTTGCATGTGCGATTGTTATTAACCCGCAACCTGGTATTTGCGGGGTAACTTGCTCAATAATTTAATTTAGAGCATAATTTCCAGATTTTCTATTCAAGACAGTTCATCTTGATAAGCTGGTTTATATCACAGTTGATTTAGCAAAATGATTTATTGAGTGCCTCCACTTAGTAACTAAGCTATTGCTTATGAGAACAAAGTTATCTATATCAATTTGATATACATTATATACGAAAGTATATTACATTCTCCCCTCACAAGTGGTTCAGGGTCAGGAACCAAATAATTTCATCTTATTATTATTATTGATGTGCGGTGTATATTTTTATTAATACTGTAATGCACAAAGATGGGTTCCCAAAATTGAGGAAGAAAGTTAGTTTTTCTAAGATGAGGGGGAGACAAGATAAACAGTAAAGAAAAAGTTACGTGGAATGAATTATCATTTGTACATCTAGATCCTCGAATAAGATAATATGAACTTGAAGTTCATAAAAAGGTAATTCATCTGCAATATATTGCAAAGCATGCCAGACGCATTAGCTGACCCAAAGAAAGTAACTATATTCTCACTGCAAATGCTCCTATTAGAATAAGTCATAGAAGGACAAAGTCTATGGTACGCTTAAAGCGTATAGACAAATCGATTTCAAATAAAATTCTTGATAAAGAAGATGAGCAAATGATCAAAATGATCATAATAAGGAGGCAAGTGATCTAGAAGATCATGTGACATAACACTTCATAAAATCTCAGGAGAGATTCAGGTACTTGAAATATGAATGAAAAGATCTATGTTATGTCTTTATGAAAAAATATTGGAACCGAAATAAAATATTCGTCGACGACATCTATGATAGCGCTAAATATATATGAGGATCTTAAGTTTGGAGAAAAGAATTTCGAATAGAATTGGTTTTATATGAAAGACATGTAGTTTTGAATCTGTAGTTCAAATACTTGAAAGTATAAAGTCAATGATATGTGCAATCAGTTTTCGGTATCTTATTTGTCTAGCATGACATAAAAACTTGATATGCATCTAAAGTCTATTATATGGCTTATATGACTTAACTTATATAACAATCCTTGAAGGATTTAAATTGCTTAAAGCATATACAATTCTTGGTCCTGAAGTACCATATCCTAAGTGCAATATGTGCACATATGTATCTTGCTATAACTATAAGCATGATAATGTGATAACGAAAATACCTCTATGGAGATATTGAAAAGGCTATTCCACGACATTATATGAAGACATTACATATCTATCAAGAATGATGATTTCAAGGTTCAACATATTCATTCAAGTTAATATGGTTGATTTGTTTATCAAATCTCTACTAATGATCTTTTGAAGATGGTGCACAAGATCGGGATGCGAAGGCTCAAAGTGTGAATTGATGCTCTCATCATGGAGAGTTAATACGCGTTGTACTCTTTTTCCCTTACAAGGCTTTGTTCCACTGGGTTTTCCTTGCAAGGATTTTAACGAGGCAACCAAAAGGCGTATTTCTAAACATATGTACTCTTTTTCCTTCTCTAAAATTTTTTTCCCATTGGGTTTCATTTTAGTTAGGTTTTAACGAGACACATTATCTGTTGAATAGACATTCAAGGGGGAAAGTTATAAATAATATTTTATTTGTGGTGAATGTCTATATTTTAGAGAGAGTTCCTAGGATTTATTATTTGGTGGCTAAGTCACTTTTCCCCTATAAATAGAGGGGTTCTATTCTATTTTAATTGATCCTAAATCAATAAGAATTCTCTCCCTACTTTTCTCTTCAATACTTTTTTCTTCATTTATTGTTTTATAACAAAATCAATTATTTTTAGTAACTGAAAAAGATCCGAGGAAGTACATAAATTATAAATGTAAAATTTAATGCCACAAACAAAATCCAAACATTGTACCCCGTTCATTCCAATTCATGTGAACCTGTTTGACTGGGCACGGAGTTTAAGAAAAAATAAAAACTTTTGGGATTTGTGGTCCTAAACAAGTCAAAAAGGGCCCCAGAATTTTCGGCCCGGAGCTCGCAATTGCAATAACTGCACTTGTTAAGTGAGATTTCAGACGGGATTTTTCATCATTTTACACTTCTCTCAAACCCTAAACATCCTTAGGCGATTTTTCAAAGACTCAAATTTCTTCAAATCATAGGTAAGTGATCTCTAACTCATCTTCTTCAATCTAATTCATCTTTTTACATGATTTCACTTCAAAATCTAGGGTTTTTCATGGAAAATTGGGTGTTCTTGGGTAGAAATTAGGATTTTTGAATTTTGGGGATTTGGACCTCCATTTGAGGTCGGATTTCAAAACTAATTGCATATTTGAGTTCGTGGGTGAATGGGTAATCGGGTTTTGGTTCGAACTTCGAGTTTTGACCAAGCGGGCCTGGGGTCGGGTTTTGACTTTTTGGAAAAAACATTGGGAAGTTCATATTCATGCATTAGAATTGGTTTAATTAGCATTTATTGATGTTATTGAATTAATTATGGCTAGATACGAGTGAATTGGTGGTGGAATCGAGAGGAAAAGCGGTGGCTGAGTGCTGAATTGTCCGTTGGCTTGAGGTAAGTGTTTGGTTTAATCTTGACTTGAGGGAATAGGAATTCCCAACTTATGTGCTAAATGAAATATCATGTGTGTGGCGTATAGGTGTGGTGACGAGTACCTATGCGCCACCAAATTTCCATTTTTAGTTTATTCCCTTCCCCGTTTCCTAGTATATTGCTTCTTGTCTTATTTGCTACTTGCTTAAACTGTTTCCATGCCTTAATTGCTACTTGCACTTAAATGCTTCCATGCCTAATTGCTTCATATTAACTGTTGCCCTTTATTGAATTATTTAATTATTTCATGTTAATTGTTGATGTTCTCATTGAGGTATTATTGGTTTCATAGCTTCATTTTATTACCCCGTTGGGTTATATGGATTCATTGGTGCCTTATGGTGCACGTTGGTTGGTCTCGCTGATTTGTTTTCATGAGTGAAGTTTCATAGTAGCGATATTCCATTGTGTAGTTGAAGTATAAGAATTGTGAAAATTGAGTTAACTTGTGAAACACCTTGTATTTATTCTTTGTGATTGGTGTTGATATATACATATGTTGGAATCGGGTTGCATGCCGCAACAGGAGGAATAAGAGAGAATTGCGATTGTCTGGTGGGATCGGGTTGCACGCCGCAACAAGGAGTAATAAGGCTGGACAGGTGAGATCGGGTTGCGCGCTGCAACAGGAGGAATGAGGGTGATATGTGTTGAGGAGCAATAGGGGAGGACAGGTGGGATCGGGTTGCGCGCCGCAACAAAGAGGAATAAGGGAGAATATTGATATTGTTATTGTTGGAATATTGTTATTGTTATTGTTTATATGGCGAGATCGGGATGCACGTCGCATCATTTATTGTTTTTGGCATTTATTTCTGTTGAAGTTATTATTGAGGTGTTGAAATTCCCTAACGATTGGTTATAGCTGAATACTAGTAGACTGGTTGGGTCCTGTGTTCCTTTAATGCAAGTTCCGGTTATTTTTCATTCCGTACTTCTTTTCTGTTTATTATAAACTGTTGCAGGTTATATGTATTGTTATGCCTCGCGGTAGCCTCGTCACTACTTCGTCGAGGTTAGGCTCGACACTTACCAGTACATGGGGTCAGTTGTACTGTTGCTACACTCTGCACTTTTTGTGCAGATCCCAGTGTTGGACCGTACGGACCGTAGTTCGAGGTTGCTGTCTTCAGACTAGTGGAGACCCGAGGTAGTCCTTCAGGCGTCCGCAGGCCTTGGCGTCCCCTTCTATCCTGTCTTTCTTTTCTGTTTTATTTATTTCCGAAATAGATGTGTACTTCTTTGTTCAGTCTATTATGTGTAGTATTCGTAGATGGTCCGTGAAATTGTGACAACAGTTTCGGGTGGAGTTTTATCATGGTTTTGCAGATAACTTGTTAAATTCTGTTCTTTCATTTTTATTCCGCTGATTTACTTATGTTAACTTGTAAATTTGTTAAAATATAAAAGGAAAAGGCAAAATAATTTGTAATGTTGGCTTGCCTAACGAGTACAATGTTAGGCGCCATCGCGGTCCCGACGGTGGGAAATTCGGGTCGTGACAAGTTGGTATGAGAGCTTCTCATTAAGGGTAGAATCGTGAGTTTAAGCTAAATTGTTACCAAATTTAGTAAGAGTCTGTTTGGAAAGTCACCCTGTAATTGGAATTGGTGTAATTACTAGGATATTAGTTACACAGCCTAGTAATTACACAATTGTGTAATTACGATGACCTGTTTGTTTGTCATAGTATAATTACAGTGTAATTACAAGTTTACTTTTTTTTTTGCACAAGTGTAATTCACAGTTAGATTAAATTTTAAATTAAGTAATTATCAAAACTTACAAATAAATATAATAAAGCATATAAATTTTTACAAGTATAAATGATATTATATTTAATATTTNAATTTTTACAAGTATAAATGATATTATATTTAATATTTAAGATGTATATTTTTTTTCGTGAATATACATTTAAAAAATAATTTTTATATATATATATATATATATATATATATTTTTTAAATTAATAATATTTAGTTTAGATACTTACAAAAACTAAATATACGTTTTGTAAGAACATCATGGAATTCATGATTAAAATTTCAAAAGAAATAAAAAAGTAAAAATAAAACTAAAAAATTAACATGATAGAAACAAAAAGTTATAAAGAAAATAAATTAAAATAAAAATAAAAAAGAAAGAAACTAAAAAGCAACTTTGTAATTACACAGTGTAGTTACCACCAATTCTCACATGCCCTTGAGAATTGGAGAGTGTAATTACACCCCTCCAATTACACCCAATTCCATGCTTACCAAGTAATTACTTGGCCAAACAAACATGCCAAACTGTGTAATTACACCAATTACATTCATATTCATTTCCAAAATTGCTTTCCAATCAGGCTCTAAGTAGTTATTCTTTTTGGAACGGACCGAAAAAGAAATAGGGCCAAAACTTACTGCCAGGTGAACCAAATCCTAATGACGTTGTAAAAGATTAATTAGTGAAATGAATGAGTTTTACAACAAAAACGCTTAGTCAATTTATTTCATACTTGTACTCAAAGTTATTACGATGTCACCAAGTTTTAATTTTAAAAATTAAAAACCTTAGCTGATCAGAGCTCCGGCGACAAAGACATATTAGAGACCCCAAAATCATCTATTTGTACCCCCTAAATTAAGCTCCTGTTCTTATCCACTTCACAACTGATTAAGTAATATTTATTGCAGCTATTCGATTTTTTCACGAGTTTATTTTCCACAATCCCGGTGAGTTTTCCTTAATTATTGGTTCGTTTTCTGTTTGACACAATATAAAATTGTAATTGATATTGAAACTTACGTATCAATTGTTTGAATTTTGGTAGTTACTGGTTTCTGGAAATTGTGTGTAGATAAACTAGGGTTGAAAACAGTGAAGATGACGAGAAAAACGAGTTGCTGTGGTATTTGTGAGAATTCAAATCTTCCTTCCATTTGTCCTGTTTGCGTCAATTACAGGTAATTCAAATATTTAACTACAGTAGAAAAACAACCAAAAATTGAAGTTCCTAGTATTATTTCACAATCTGCTATTTTGTTATTCATAACTTATTCAGGTGAGGCTGTGGATGAAATTTTATGTACAATGCAATTGATGTGGATGAATATCTGAATTTGGACAGGGGCAGACCTACTTAACAATCATTTGCTTCATCCTAAGCCACTGTTTGAGGCCTTGTGTGTGTGTGTGTGTGTATGTGTCTGTGTGTATATATGAGTATATGTATGTGTGTGTTTAAATCCATTAGGAATTGGTATAAAAGAATCAAATTCACTGCTTCCGAGCCCTCCACATCTTGAATCTGTCCTTGATTTTAAAGTTACCTTTAGCAATTGGATACTAATACAAAAGCAATAGGAAGTGGGTGGGTGGGGTTTTGGGGGGTGGGTTGTAGAGGATTCTGATTCTAGTGATGATGTGTTTTTGGCAGATTGAATGAGTACAGCACTGTGTTAAAATCACTGAAGGGCAGGAGGGATGCACTCTATGGGCGATTAAGTGAAGTACTCTTGGCTAAGGTTTTCCTACTCCCTGATGAAGTTCTCTCTTGTTATGGTTTCAATTTGGACTTTGACACGTCACTTATGCTTTTGTTACCTTGTTCAAGAAGTTGCCTTCCCTTTTGATCTAATGCAGGTTTAAGTTTGTTCATTGAAATTCTCTGTGAATCAGGTTATCCATACCACAAGCGATAATCTAACCATACTGTTTATTACATCAAGGAGAACAGCATGGTAGTTGAAAAATTCATACATATGATTAACTTAGGATGGTTAAAATGGAGGAATGTTATGGGAGTTCTATAAAATAGGAAGTCACTGAACAAAATCAAAGACAAGTTCTGTAGAACAGTTGTAAGATTGTTAATTTATGTGGGAGTGAATGTGGGGTGTGTAAGGCTCAACATATCTACAAGATGAATGTCGTATAGATGCAAATGTTAAGATGTAGATGCGGTCATACAAGATTGGATAAGATGAGATATGGTCATATCCAATAGAAAGTAAATGAGATAAGATTGCTTGAGATTTTTAATCATGCCTATGTAGACACCTATATGTGCCATCTTATAGTGCAAGAGAATGATGATTGAAGGTGAAAAGAAGAGGACGAGATATATATAATTACAAAATCACATAGAGGGAAGATGTTTCAAAAGACCTATAATCTCTTATAATCTCTTGGAGTCCATGGTCTGGAGGGCTTTTGAGAAAATTAGAGATTCGACATTCATGTAGGTCTAGGGACGATGAAAAGATCATATGAGCGATGTGAATCTGTTGGGTTTAAGGAACGGTGATTGTTACACACATCAGGTCCCAACTTTGAAATGAAGGTATAAGGAAAATTAAAAGAGAGTGTGTTAGTCAAATAGAAGGCTCTAACAGGGGTCATAGTTGATAGTTCCATACCATCCAGTGTTCTTAAAGTCTTTTTTTCCTAGTTTCGGACTTGTACATCCATGTAAATATAAATGTGAAGTTTAGAGATTCGACATTCATGTTAGGTTACTAAGGGACCGTATGAAAAGATCATATGAGTCGATAGTGAATCTGTTGGGTTTAAGGAACGGTGATTGTTACACACATCAGGTCCCAACTTTGAAATGAAGGTATAAGGAAAATTAAAAGAGAGTGTGTTAGTCAAATAGAAGGCTCTAACAGGGGTCATAGTTGATAGTTCCATACCATCCAGTGTTCTTAAAGTCTTTTTTTCCTAGTTTCGGACTTGTACATCCATGTAAATATAAATGTGAAGTTTAAAAAGCATAGTTTTAGAGGACTCCTATTTTTCTTTAAAATAAAACTTATTTAGTGTTGGAATGGAATAGACATTTATAGAAAAATTAATTAGAGTTGGGCGTTTAATTTGCACAAAAGAATATAGTAAGCAAAGTGAGAGTAGTATGATGCATGTCAGGGCTGCTATAATATTCTAGCAAAAATGCGAGCAAAGTCTTGTTAACCAACTGAAAGCTAGACGGGATGATTGTATTTTGACTTGCTGCCTATAGACCATTTCCAGATTACTTTAGGGGTAATCAGCTACCATTATGTTTTCCTTCTAGTTGATGCTACCTATCTTAGATATTTAGTTTCCCAAACTGATATAAGTTCCCTTATATTCTGTAATGAGGTATATTCTTACCATTACTTATAAAAAAAATCGGTTACAAGGTATACCTGTAGCTTAAAAAGAGACATCTGTTCATTATTTATCTCATGATTTTGATTTGGAACTTTCGGTCATCTTCAGGGTAAGGCCGATGATCAACTTAGTTGGAGGGTGCTTCAGAATGAAAAATTGGCAAGATTAAAGGAAAAGCTTCGACAACAGAAAGAGCAAGTTTCACAAGGTGTTTGGTCCTGTATTACTAATGGCAGCTGTTCAATTTTAATTGCATGCAGATCTTAACCTATTTGCGAGCAGACTAATACATGTATTTACAGGGAAGGCGAAAATCGAGAAGATGTCTCATGATCTGAAAGTTCAGTATGAGTTGCTAGGGTCAGCAACGAGCATGGTATAATGGAGTCTTTCTTTTATATTTCACATTTTGGTATGATTAGTTTGATGTACCCACCCACTGATGACTGAATCAAATTGCAGTTGGAAAAAAATCGTGCGGAACAACTTGAGAAGTTTTATCCTAATCTCATCTGCACTCAAAATCTTGGGCATGTGAGGAATTATTCTTCTGTCCAACTCTCCTATTACAAAATTTTCATGTTACTAATGCTCTTTTATCTAAACCACAGATGGCAATTACCTCTGAGCTTCTTCATAAACAATCTGTGGTTGTAAAGCAGATATGCAAGTTATTCCCTCAACGTCGTGTAAGTCTTGAGAAATTATATATACTTATAATTGTGGCACACACTACTCAATCCAAACTACAAGAGAATGGAATGAATTACATTATCTTGTCTCCTGAAAAAGACTATGGAAAATCGATATTGATATGGTAGTCATTTCGAGAGGTTTTTCTTATTATATATGTGTATTACTACCTTTGAATTGGTGAGGCTCTTCATCTTCTTTTTCTTAAATTAGCTAACTCTTAATATTCTTGAACTTGAAGTGAAATTTTGGGTAGAAAACTGCGATTGGCTTCAATGAGGATTGCACCTCACAAACCCCGTGCTTCCCTGGTGGTTATGTAAAAATAATGATTATTTCACCAATTCAACTTCATAGTTATATGTTTGATCATGTGAGCTATCGTGGATTGGATCCATGGTTCCTTCATCTTCTTGAAACATAGTATCTAATGCGGATTATTGTTGAGATTATGAATCTTAGCCTGTTCGTGTTCCATAAGTGCTTTACAGTCTCTTTCATTTTTGGCCCTTGTAAATTCTCCCCTTTTTTTTTTAAAAAAAAATTTAAAATTAAAATGTCCGTCATATAGATGTTATGATTGTTTTAGGAAAAACGGAAATTGGAGTTGGCAGTTCTTGATCTACTATCGGGTCATCGTTGTTAGTATATGGGCGGAACTGTGGAGTCATTCAGGAAGAAAACCTGATCTGTGTATGCTTAGTAATATTTCTGTTAGGTATTTATGATGGCCAAGAAAAGAGGACGTTGGACTTTGAACTTTCTCTTTCTATGTTGACTATCTACTTGGAGCACATTTGTGTTTCATACAAATCTTGCGTTGCAGGTGATAGTTGACGGAGAAAAAAAAGACACATCTAGTGGCCAATATGATAGCATCTGTAATGCAAGGTTGCCAAGAGGACTTGATCCTCATTCAGTTCCATCTAATGAGCTGGGTGCTTCTTTAGGGTAATTTCTTTTGCTTGCTCATCACATAAGTCACTTTTCCAGCTGTGTAGTCATTAAGTTTCTGAACATAGAGTGTGGCGTTCAAGAGTAGATATCTGCGGAGCCATTATTCAAGTGACAATATGAGTTTGCTCTGTTATTCTTATAGTCTCATCTGGATGTTTCCCTTTCTTTTTGCTCAATTATTACTTGCGCAGTTTTCTTTACAATGTTTACATTAGTGCCCAGTAATTCTGGCCTCTATGAGTTGGAGTGCCATGGCTTTTTTACCAAAGTGGATTATTGGCCACCTATGCTTTTTTGCATTCAAGTAGGAAGGAATTTTGAACAATTATGCTTTAGATGCTACAGTCAGGCTCCTATATATTTGTTTTTTCAAACCCTCAGGTTTTGGTATTCTTCTGAATATGCTGTGATATTTTCAAATTTTCTTTGTATACTTAGGCTTTTTTTTGGGTTGGAGGTGAGGGTTGTTTATCTGGGCCACACCAATAAAATTATATGAAGGGTTTATCAAAGCATTGGAGTATAGTTGATAGGTCTTTTGGCTGGATTTGAGGATCTTTTGGTAAAGGTTCAAGTTGCTTTATGCTATACAAGAAGTGAAGACGGCTTTCCCACGAACTCAAAAAATTAACTAGAAATTGCAAAACCCATGATATCCTTTTATGGAGAGGATTACTGGAAGATGAAATACTGACTGTAACCCCTTATGGTCCAAGGGCTTGTTACTATGTGGTCTGCAAGTAAATGAATAGTTAGCTATAGATATGCAAGAGTGCTACTTGCTAGTTTAAGAGTACAGAAAGTCATTTCAAAAGCCAGATGAAAAATGCATGTGCATTACATTTTTCTAGCGATACCGTTTATATTGTGTATTTTAGAATATTCTAGTATTTACTGGAGCAAATTGAGTTACGTAGTATGTCATTGAAATGAAACATGCGTATACAGATCCACATGCTGCGTAGATTGAGATAATTATCCAACGATTTTTACGTGTCTATTTGTAGAATAGCCATTTTGGCCAGTAATAATATATTCTAATGATTTTATTTTCGATGGTTGAAAGCAGATATATGGTGCAACTTTTGAACCTTGTTGTGCGTTGCGTATGTGCTCCTGCACTTCATAATTCAGGATTTGCGGTATGCTCAAACAACCTTCTATCGTTGTTTTGATAGTTTAGCCTCAAATACTTGAGAGTACATTAATGGAGCTGGTCAGAGCTGTCTTAGTACAAAAAACTTTAATTAGAGATATGTTGCAATTTATTTTATGCCAGAGCCAGAGGAATAGCAAAAAATAATTTCCTGGTGCCTTTCAGACCTTAGTGAATGAGGTCGCCGTTTTTTCCAGAGTCACTGTACATAGTTGGGCAAAGGATAACATATTTGTTTTATCTTGAACCCAGAACAATCTTTTTTAGTTTCTCATGCGTCTTTGTTCATTACATTAGGGTTCATGTTCTCGAATATGGCAACGAGATTCTTACTGGGATGCCCGGCCGTCGTCTAGAAGGTATTCTTTTACTATAATGTAGAAATTTATTGTTTCTTTTCCGCCGTGAAGAGATGAAAACTTTCCTACTGATGTTAGTCATGCATTGCAGTGGCGAGTACCCACTTTTTATTCCACGCCAAAACTTTTGCTCGTCAGGTGGGGAAGCTTCATGGTACGACAGAAGTTGCAGTAATTCTGGAAGTTCAAGTGACTTTGGAGTTACCTCAATGGAATCTGATAGAAAACCTCGGTTGGATTCTTCTAGTAGTAGTAGTTTCAACTATGCTTCTGCTTCCCTGCACTCAATAGAATCACACAAGGATCTGCAGAAAGGCATAGCACTTCTCAAGAAAAGTGTTGCCTGCATTACTGCATACTGTTACAACACTTTATGTTTAGAAGTTCCTGCCGAAGCCTCTACTTTCGAAACATTTGCAAGATTGTTGGCTACACTTTCTTCTTCAAAGGAAGTTCGATCTGTGTTTTCTTTGAAAATGTCTGGTTCAAGGTGCGTATTTCCTTTATTTATGTATCATAATTATAGATCTGTGCTCCATACTATATAATGAAAGAAATTTATTTATCATGGCATTGGAGCCTCCGATTATCTAGCAGTGGCCCGTATTCAGTGATTCGTTTTTATAATTTGTAGGGCATCCAAGCAAGTCCAACAACTGAACAAATCTGTTTGGAATGTAGATTCAGCCGGGTCATCTAGCACTTTGATGGAGAGTGGACATGTGCCAGTATTGGTATAGTTTCTTTCTTTGGATTCAGTTCAGCATAACATATATTGGCATTAAAAATATTTGTATGAATATATAGAGAGTGAACATGCGCCAGTATTGGTATAGAGGCATAGTTTTTAGTGTTGGTTTCATGTCTGCAGAAGACTTGAGCTTTTCTGTATTTAATATTTGTTTGTGTTGAGCATTATGCCATTGCCTAATTGTTGTGAGGGGTAAAATGCATCATTATCCACTCTTGCTGACCACATCTCCTTTTCTATTGAAGTCTAGTTTTTTTTGGCTTTCTCACATGTATGCAGTAGTTTGTTGAAAGAAATTAAAGGACCTTATGTTAGGGAACAACGAACTCAGTAATGCGGCAATGAAGAGATATCTATGATAAGCAGGATCTGGCATAACTCAAATACGCCTAGGCGATTCTTATAAATCTTTATGGAGTTTTCTTGCTTACGTATACTAATTTGTAACAAATTGAGTTAGCTGAAGAAGTGTTTTATGTACGGTAGATAATTCTCTCTTGGATTTCAACTGAGAGGCCTTGGTTTTATTAAGCTTTCTTATAATTTTTCAGAAGTTGATGAGAAAAATTTATTAGGGGACATAATTTAGTAAGAACTGCAAAGAATAGAGAGTCCAGAAACCTTGTAGCTACAATCTCTTTTAAAATCTTTTGGAATTGCTTCTGTGGATTTCAGAGGATGTGAGCTTTGTTTACTACTGGATGGTTTATGTTTTGGTGACTATTATAACTGAGCATTATTGTATGGAACTCTTTGCTACTGGGCCTAATAATGTGTTGCAACTATGCTTTTTTAGTTTTTCTCTCGTAAATAAATTTTGAAAGTAATTAGTTACAATGAAGCTGTTGCATTTGATTTCTCTTCTTAACTTTGCAGAGAAATACATTTGACAATGCTCTTCCAAGTTCTACTGCTAGTTTGATTTATGCCACTGAAGTATCTGATGTAGGAAGGAATGAAAATTTAATTGAAGGTTGGGATCTTATTGAGCACCCTCCTTTTCCTCCTCCTCCATCACAAACTGAAGATGTTGAACATTGGACACGAGCCATGTTTATTGATGCAACAAAGAAATGAGCCACTTCTTGGATGGCTACGTCATTGTAATTATAGCCATTGCTCATGAAGGTAAACTGAGCTACTTTGCCACATTCACATAACGTGCAAGTTAAAACCCTGATAGAGTTTCTTTCATTTTTCTCAAATTTAGGGGTAAATATATTCTATTTCAGTGATTGATTCTGACTACAAATTTGTGAATTGTCTTCTTTCTTGTGTGATTTGCTAATACATATATACCAAACTAGCAAAACCTAATCCAGGCTTCATTTCTGAGTTTACAATCTTGCAACTCAATTTTCTAGTCCTTCATATTGGCTTGGTGCTTTGTTCACGTTTAGCTGCAAAAAATGTCTTGATGTGGCAATATATGTGTATGTGATGTAAAACTGTTCCATACAAGACATCTTAGTGATGACCTTTTTGTTTGGCACTGTAGGAAGTTTAGAACTGATCACGGGTATTAAGTAAATAAGAACTGCTGGACTCATGAGTCATCGTCATCGTCATAGTTATGCATGTCTAAAGCATTTAGATACCTGTTGTTTTACACTGAAAATTTTCTTCTTTGCCTCTTCAGATGTAATAATAAAATAACTTTACTTCCTTTTTTTCCCTTTTCTGGTGTTGCATAGACATCCAAGGATGGAGGGATGCTTCCGAGCTACATCAATCTCTCGGATGAAAAAGCTTGTAAAGTTGTCAAACTAAGTTAAACATTCACAAATTGTAAATAGCGTCAACGTGGTTTTAGCTTTGTTTATGGAAACCACAGTATCTTTATTTTACTCTTACCATATTCTCATACAGCTTTAAAAAGAGTGACGGTTTTGCATGCAAGCAAACACCCATGATTAGAAGATGAATATGCAGGTGATATCCTTTTCTATTTAGCTCTCACCAACCTTCCCCGCCCGGGGGGCGCAAAATCTGTTTGTCATCAGGTATTAAAAACCTGATTCTCTAAGGAGCTCTTCTATGGCTGGTAGCTGGAGATTTCTGAGACAAGCTAAAACCTCACAACTGAACTGAACCGCTCTGCACTTTCTAAGGCATTGTTGGTAGCAAAAGTAAAGGCCCATGATATATTCATGGGGGGCGTGGGTGGGAGGAGAAGATGAATTTAATTACTAGTCTTAACCATGTTAAATGAAATAAGACAGTACCTTAAGCAGGGGTAAAAAATGTAGCTTTCTTATCCAAGATGTTTGTGATATACTTGAACATTTTTAATGTTACCGTTTAGTTGAAAAATATATATGGAAGGATTTCGTCAATGTATTTTTCCATCATCGTTTCAGTTATTATTAGTGGGGAACTTGTTGAGTTGTCTAAAAGTGACTTTAAATCTCATAAGCCAGCTGGTTAATACAAAATCTAAAAATTGATCAAGAATCACAATGATTCTCAATGAAAATGGTGTAGGTGAATTTTTGTGAAAAAGGGAAAGGATTTAATAGTATCATTGTAGTAGGTGGAAGAAGGCTGCCCACCAAGTGAATGATAAATTTTGAATGAGAATGTGGGCGTTGAAGAATTTCAGCGACATACGAATTCTCTGATCTGTTCATTCTTGACTTAAAAATTACAAGGATGCTAAAGAAAATAGGAGTAATATTAACAGCTAACGGCAATTTACCCTTAAAATGGGTTGACACATTTTACACACAAGGAGTCATTGCAAGTTTGCAACAATGCAGCCCACATACAAGTCGATTGGGAATGCAGGCGGAAAATTACTTCATTGGACTTGCAGATTACCAAAGACCGAAGTGATAATTGGGGTTCTAAGCAGGGTGTCAATGGATATTTGAAAACCGATTAAATTGACCGAGCCGTACCGCACCGAACCAATTTTTAGGTTTCTTTTAAAGAAACCGTAAGTTTTTATATAAATCTGTAACCGTACTGATAATTAGGGTAGGTTTTTTATTTTATAAAAATAAATCGAGAAAATACCGAACCGTACCGTATAAATTTTATATGTGAAAAATATATTTATATTGTAAGTTTAAAACGAATAAACAATAAATGTTTCATTAGATCTTGGAATTATGAAAATTGTTACAAGCCAACAAGTAATTAAATTCAAAATACGAATTCCTAAAATCTATTATGCTACTTATACTTAAACTAAGTTATTTCAAGTATCTTTATTAGCAAGACACAAAGTGTTCTCGCGATTATGAGTAGAAAACTACACTGTATTGAATATGTTTCCTTTCATACAATTTAGATTTATCTTTTTGCATATTTAATATAAACTTTATTCTTGAGTCCCGGGTTGGTTAATATCTTTCCACTCGTGTGATTTATATTTTCTTTGCTTTTACTTGGTTTCTTTTACGTTGCTGTCGAATAGTTGATGGATCTATACTCTAGCCATCTTTCATGTTTATTAAATTCATCACCCTTTAAACAGTAAAAATGTCTAGAAAGTTTTGGTAAGTCCTGTAAAAGAACATATGTTATTGCATTCTACTTCTAATGGTGAGTTTTACATGATATTTAAAAAGATACCGAAAATTAACCGAACCGTTCCGATATCGAAGTGAAACCGACATGATTGGGACGGTTTCGAAAAGTCTAATTTTGGTTATACATAATAGAATAACCGAGAAATTAGTATGGTTCAAATTTTATAAAATAACCGTCCAAACCGAACCATTGACACCCCTAGTTCTAAGTTCAAAAGTAAAGAAAGAGATTAAGATATGTACTATGGAAAACAAGTAAAGTTGAGGGAGATTTTGTTTGCTCAATTAAAAGCTCCAAAGATCTCTAAAACATCAAATGAAAGGTAATTGAAAAGCACATTAGGTAATTCTCCCTCTCAAGTTAAAACTAAACTTAGATGCTTCAAAGTGTACACAAAACTTTGTTCACTTCTTCCTTTTCTTTGGGGGCTGGATAGTCTCTTCTTCTTCATCCTCTTCTTCATCATCTTCTGGCTCCTCCTCTACAACTTCTTCTTCTTCGTCTGGCCCTTCTCCGTCGTCGTCATCATCATTATCATCATTATCGTCATTGTTGTCATCGTCGTCATCATCATCATGACCTTCACCATCACCCTCTTCATCTTCTGCATCTCCACTCTCTTCACCTTCTCCGTCATTGCTTTTCTTGACATCGCCATTGGTTTTGTTAGGATTGTTTTCATGAACCCCATCATCAGAAAATTCCTCTTCACCATCCTTAAATCCACCATTTCTATTCTCAACATTGTTGTCTCCATTTCCACCTTCCTCAGCAGCATCAACTACTTTGTGCTCATCATTTGTATTTTGCTTTCCCTTGACTTTTGTCTCAATTGCCACCAATGGCACAACATCCTGGAATTACTTAAAGACATCATCTTACATGACTATTCTAGGAACACTATAGTGAAGAAATGGATTGCCTGTCAATCTCATGACATAACACAAATAGCCAGTCAGATTCACTGTTTACTTTTTTTAGCCAGTGTACATAGATTATACACAGTTATAAATATATTATAAATTCGCTTGTTATTTTTAGTTTAAGAAATTAGGTGAGCGACTATTTTGATTAATTCTTCTAACATAAAATGAGCCCGTAATGCATACTACTAAAATTTTATGGCCCACTATAATAGAAGGGACAATTTCTATCCAAGTCCATTAAGCTCATTAGTCCAGTTCAGAGTGGACCACCTCGTAGTACTATTTACAGCCCAAGCATGAAATGCTAGTTAATGTGAGGCCAGTCAAATTTATAAACATAAAATTAATCATATCTTGATAGCATATTCGGATATAATATTCACTTAAGAAAGAGTCAACCTAGAAAAAGCATGTTTTTTCAATTCGTTTGAAAACAATATTTTACTCAACATGTTTCTTTTTATTTAAAATAAAGCTCACTTGACTTTTCCAGGATTACAAAAATCTCATCCAGAATTGATTATTCCCCAAATATACCAATTTAGTAATTAAAAACTTTATTAGTCCACTATGAAGGGGCAGTAGTTGCAGCATCTATTCTGCAAAACTAACATAATTGGCCAGTGGCAGACTATATAATTCTTAGTGGGGCCCTGCTCTGCATCAACTAACCCGGAACCCAAAATGGCATATAATCCAAATTAACGTTCTGTTTCAGTTCCGCCACTGAAAACCAGTAACTTCACAAATTAAAGAGTACGAGAAAATAAATGCTACTTCCTCATAATATTTTAAAAAAAAAAAACTATTTCTTACACCATAACTCCTCTTTTAGATATTTTGCACCTTTTTCTTAGTTTTTTTTGAGTCGAAGATCTATTGGAAACAACATGTCTATCCTAATAAGTAGGGGTAAGGTCTGCGTACACACAATCCTCCCCAGACCCCACAGTATGGAATAATAGGGTATGTTGTTATTACTGTTGTTGTTGTTGCACCCTTTTATTAGTTTCTGAAATTTTACTTATTGAGAATAAAATTTCTACAGCTAAACTAAAAAGAAAAGAAAAAAGCAAAACCATTGGATTTCTGAGAGAGAAAACCTCCTAATTCCACAAAATGAAATATTTTGGAAGCACACGACCAATGAACATTCAGATACTTGTATTGTATGATAAAAAAGAACAGAGAGATAGAGAGCACAGGAAAAACTTATTCACTGTTCAGATAAATGTGTATTTTGTTATTTTATGCTCTTTCCGGTCCACTTTAATTGATTTTTGACTGTTTTTTCACATATTAAGAAATCCACCCTTTATCATTAATTAACAATAAAATTGATCATATTAACCTTAAATTTGTTCATTGGAAATACAACAAATACTCCTAGGCTCTTTACTTCAATGACAACTTTTTTTAAAAAAAAAAGTTAATTCTTTCTTGATATCTGAAAAAAATCAAATATCGCGTAGCACAAAAAAATCGTTTATTTGTAATTACTTAACCACCATTAATTAATAAGTTTTTCTATTGCAATTCACACCTGATTGTGGTAAAGTAAGATGATAATATTAGCATATAAAACATTTTCCAGGTTAAAATTGCAAGGAATAAGCACAAGTAGAACTGCTAATTAATTTAGCTGGAGTAGTAACTAACCTGGACGGAGGCTAAAAGCGTGGGTAGAGCGCACGTTAGCAGAGTGTTGGTAAGCATGACCTCCATTTGTACGGCACTTGTACTCTTCTTTCCACACCTATAAGACTTGACCGTTAAGATCTTCTCCGAAATATCTTTCGCAAATCAAAAACTAAAAAGCCATATACCAAAACTAATGATGAAATTTTTGATATGAAAATCGTAAACATGACATACACAGAAATATAGTACTAAAGTTTTGAGAGAACAGTCAGAAAACGAGGATGAGCTAAATGAAGCATATTAATTATGTGTACTTAATGTAAAATGCAAGTCATACAACTCTAAACTTGAGATCTACACTACAAATAGAAAATTCGAAGAAACAAATTAGAAGATAAATAGAAACCTACTTTCTTCTCCAAATAAAACAAGTTTCGGGTAAAACTGTAAAGAAAATGGCGAGAAAAAAAAGTTTAGGTGTTGAATGCTACAGAAAACATTTTCTGGGAAAGTAGAAGCATTAAGAAAGTAAAATGATTGAGAAAACTGTTACCTGAAAGATGTGTGAGAAAGACAGAGAAAATGGTATTTGCAAAGAGAGTTATACGCAAAGGTTTGATTAAACAGAGAAAATAAGGAACCAGAATCTAATGCTTTGTTCCTACTACTGCAAATGGAGGTCCCACTTCTCGACCCATCATTTTTAGGATAATTTCACATTGGCCCTTGAGGTATCTTATAATTCCAGTTGAAACCCTCGGACATTTATATTTAATTCAAGTGTCGTTAAAAGTACTGAAATTTGAAATACAGATATTTTTTTGTCAATTTTGTGAATTTGCACAAGAGATGAAGAACAGAAGAAGAGCATAGCAGAGAGAGAGAGAGAGGAAGAGTTGAGAGAAAAGAATCTCATTTTCTGTTATCTTCCAAAAACAATGTACACCTCCACTTATATCAAAATAACCGACTAACTACTATCTAACTACAATATTAACACCTAAATATAGTTACTACTAATCTAATCATGGTTAAATTAAACCTATACAACATTAACCTGGGTCATGATATGTATCACATTTCTCATTACCCCCTCAAGCTAGGACTGAGGCCTAGCTTGGATAGTAAGTGAGTGTGCTGAAGACCACTCAGGCCCTTGGTCAAGATATCAGCAGGTTGATCAGTAGACCTCAAGTAGACAGTTTGAACCAAGCCTAAATGAACCTTCTCGCGG